GCATGATCTGTTTTCGAAAAACCCATGTTGGCTTTTGGTTATTATTTTGTTTGCTTTTAGGTGTTCACTGATTCACTGCTTGATTAACTTTTTCAGAATTTTGCCTGGGATTGAGGTCAGGCTGATAGGTCTGTAGTTTCCTGGATCTATTTCCCCCCCCCCCTTTTTTGAAGATGGGAACCACATCAGCTCTTTTCTAGTTCTCTGGCAATGCCCTGGTGCTCCAGGATCTCTGAAAGAGATAGTTCAGCGGTTCCGAGATCTCGTCTGCCAGTTCCTTCAGAACCCTGGGGTGTAATCTTTCCGGTCCTGGTGATTTGAACTCGTCTAGGACAGACAGGTCTTCACTTACCATTTTCTTCCCTATTTTAACTTGAGTTCCCAATCTGATTTTTGTGGTGCTGTTTTTGATACGTTGGACCGTTTTTTCCCCTTGTGTAAAGACAGATGTCAAGTTAAATAGTTCTGCTTTCTCCCTGTAGCCTGTCACCTTCTTGCCACTTTCTCCCAACAATGGACCAATTGTTTCCTTGACTTTTTTCTTGTTTTTAACATGTTGGAAGAAGCTTTTTTGTTATTTTTTACTTTTATTTTACCATTTCTGGCCCTTACAATTCAAGAATGGACCAGAGGTGTCAGAGCAGCATCAACAGACGCAGTAAGGGGGACGGTGGGGCTGGAAGTTATCTGTTCCAAAGAGAGAAAGGGCCACTTGCTTTAGCTTGGAGAAAATGTTACGGCTCTTAACACCTGAAAGGAAGCCCCAGAGGCCTGGGCTGTGGGAGGTCGGAAACGGCTGCAGGCCGCAGGATGGCAGGCCCAGCCATGGGAGGGATTTCCTTTAGATCCTGCTGCAAGCCTCCTAGGGCCTTATTTTATTAATTTCTTTTTACAAATAATCCAGGGTACGGAAAGCTTCCAATGCACCTCCCTCCTCCTAACTTCCCCATAACAACCGTTCCCTGAGGTGCGTTGGGCTGAGAGAGACGGACCGGCCCAAGGTTGCCCAGCCAGTTTTCATGGCTAAGCTGGGACTAGAACTCACCATCTCCTGTTTTTTAGCCTGGCGTTTTAACCACTGGCCCAAGGTGGCCTTTCAGTGCGGGTGGCAGGAAGCGGTCAGTCTTGGCCAGCCTTCCTGCCCCACATAACCCTCTGAAAAAGGAAGGCCGGCCAAGGCTGAAGAGGACGGGGTTCCTCCTGAAAAGAGCCCCTCCCCCCCAGCTGGCCTCACTTGGGGGGGGGGGGCGCTTGGTTTACTAATCTTTCAGAGGGAGAGAAAGCAGCTGGAGGGGGGGGGGAGGGAGAGCAGCTAAGTCAAGGAAGGATCCGGGGCTCTAAAAGGTAAACTTTATTGTCATTGAACCACAAAATAGATTTCTTTGGTTGTACAAATGTCACTAGTTACAGTCCTGATCTCCCCCCCCCCCCCCGGACGACCCCAGGGGGCGAGAGATGGATGACAGCCCAGCACCTATAAGTTAGTTAGCCACTGAAACCCTGCCTGATCACCCCCCAGTTGCTCCTTAAAAGCAAATGCTAAAATTAGTTTAAAAACACAAAGCTCTAACCGGTGATGTCGAAGCAGCCACGTTGGTAGCTGGAGAGAGAGAGAGAGGGAGAGACGCAGACCTCCCATGCTACCCTCCTAAAGCCAAACCTCCCCTTCGAACGAGCCTTTCTCGGCGATTTGGCCTAAGCGATGCCCCCGTCCTGTGGAAGGCTGGCAGCCTGCCCGGTGGGTGCCAGCAGAGTCCCTCGCCCCGCCCCCCCCCCCTTTCCCAGATGGCCCCGCAGCTCCACCGGCCAGGCTCAAAGCACCGGCTGGGCTGGTGGGGGCCACAGTCGCAATCCTGGGACTTCACCGGAGGCCGCCAGGCCCCTCCCCCCGCACTACTCCAAGCCCCAGCCTCTGCCTCGCCACACCCCTAATGCCACTAGCCGGCCCCTACTCGGCTTCCCCCTTCTCTACCCTGCCTGGCACAGCAGCGCCCAAAACGCTCCCCGCCAGCAGGTGGTGCTGGGCACCCTCAGGGAAGGTGGGGACAGGCACGGGGGCCCCACCGCTGGTCGGCTAACAACCGGTACGTCTCCAGCAACGACCACAGCTGATGCCACGTGGAAACAGTTTCGTGGCCCTCCTCCACCCACTATTTACAGACCCCACATCCCATCGGTTCCCCTCACCCCCAATGCTCTGCCTCAGTTTCGTCACGACCTGTCCCAGTGCATTGCAAGGAGGTCCAGAGCCCCACGGTCCATCGGGAGGCCCAGCAGCCGAGCGCCCCACTCCGTCCCGTTGGCCTGGCTGTGTCCGTACAGTCTCCAACGACAGGCGTGTTATGTTGGGACGGCGGCTTCTAAGCTGTGTTGGGCCTGCTGGAGGTTGCGCTCCTCGCCAAACAGCCCCAGCTCCTGGCCCGCAGAGGGTCCGTGGGTCACCAAGGGCTCTGGGCTCCCACCACCACGGTCCTGGCGCCCTGAGGGGAGGAGGAAGGAGAGGTCAACCTTCGGCCAGGGGCCTTCTGGGACTATAGCCCTCCAGAAAGATGCTCCTCACTCCACAGGTGGAGCACCCCTTGCTCTCTCCAAGGAAGGTCAAGAAGCAGCTAAGCATGGGGGTTTTTTTTGGGGGGGGGGTCCCTTATCCCCTGGCCCAACGGCTTGGCCACACATTCCTCCTCCTTGCTGTCTGGGGCCGCAGAGAGCCCGGCCGGCCAGTCGGCCACCCACCTGAGCTGCTGCCGATGCTGCCAAGACGTTTGCAGGATTCTCGTGCATCTGGAGTCTGCAAGAACAGAGGAGGATCAGCCCCCCTCCGGCAGCCCCCCCCCCACCTGCCTGCCTCCCCCCCCAAGCCCTTGCTGGGGGTGCCCAGAGAAAGGGGACACTTCAAGGAGGAGAGCAGGAGTCAAAGGAAGGCTTCTAGGGCAGGGGGAGGGATCAAGGGCTGGCCGCAAGGACAGGGGGGGGGGGGGGGGGGGGGGGGGGATGTCCTACCAGGCACAGCCGGTTCTTTTAAACAGGCTGCTGCAGCCTCAGGTCTGCTCTTGTGCCCGGGGGGGCACTGGCCGGAGCCAGACCATGATTTGTGTGGCCGGCACAGGTGAGATTTAACCGTTCTGACCAGTTTGCCCGAACCCTTGGTTAACTGCTGATGCAGTTCAGAGAACCGGTTAAAAATAAAGAGGATCCCCCCTCCCCCTCCCTTCAGTTAATAGCTCCTCTTAACAGTTGCAGCTGAAATGCAGGCCATGCACCACAGGGATAAAGAAATGGACAGGATCGGGGCAGGGAAACCCATCAATCACCCATCGAGAGGCGGGGTTAGCCTTTTCCTTTCAGGAAGGAGGAGGAGAAGATTACAAACATTTTCATTATAAAGAGTGTTAAGTAAGACTTCTGTGACCAG